TGCTGAGTGAGGGATTTATTCTGAATCCTTGAAAATTACAATAATGAATGTGATTAGGCATGGTCAATGGGATGCACACACAGACACACAGTACACTCTGTCTCTTGGTTCAGTTAATTAACATTGTAGTGCTCTAACAGAAATTCATGTTGCAAGAAGGATTAGTTAGCATTTGAAAAGCCAGTCAAAGCCCAATTAGTCTTTCCAGTGGCTGGTAAAAGCGTGCCAGCTAATTTTATTTCTGATCAATTCTAGAAAGTTAAAAAAATTGCCAGTGGATATTGGTAAAACAATTTATGCTCAAGATGTGGATTGGCAGAAAGAATTTTTTCCCTCTCTATTTATATTAATTGATATATATCATTGTGTATGTTTAAGGTGACAATGCATTGATTGAATACACTAATATCTATATAGTATTACCTAATACCTCCATCATGGGACATAATTACCATTTCTTTTTTATGGTGAGAACATGTAAGAACTACTCTAGTAGCAACTTTTAAGTATACAATACAGTATTGTTAGCTATAATCACAATGCTGTATATTAGATCCCCAACACTTCTTTATCTTAAAACTGAGAGTTTACACTCTTTGACCAACATTTCCCCATTTCCTCCATTTCACAAGCCCTGGTAACCACCATTCTACTCTCTGTTTCAATGAGTTCCTAGATTCTATATATAAGTTATATCACAAAGTATTTATCTTTCTCTGACTTGTTTCACTTAGCACAAAGCCCTCAAGGTCCACCTATGTTGTCACAAATAGTAGGATGTTTTTCTTTCCCTTGACAGAGAATATTCCATTATATAAACTACATTTTTATCCGTCTATCTATTGATGGACAGTTAGGTTGCTTCCATACTTTAGCTACTGTGAATAATGCTGCAGTAAACATAGGAGTGCAGTTATCTCCATATTCAGTTTCCCTTTCTTTTGAATATAATCAAGTGGGATTGCCAGGTTATATGTAGTTCTATTTTTAAATTTTGAGAAAATTCCATAATGTTTTCCATAGTGGCTGCATCAACTTACATTTCCACAAACAGTGCACAAGTGCTCCCTTTACTCCACCTCCTCATCAATACTTACTAAATCTTATATTTTTGATTACAGCTTTTGATGACAGTGTGAGGTGATATCTCACTGTGGTATGTATCTATTTTTCATTTCCCTGAAGATTAGTAACATTGGGCATCTTTTCATGAACCTTTTTGCTATTTGTATGTCTTTCTTTAGAAAAATACCTATTCATCTCCTCTGCTCATTTCAAATCAGATTGTTTGCATTCCTTATATATTTTGTTGTTATATGAGTTCCTTATATATTTTGGATATTAAACCCTTATCAGATATATCATTTTCAAATATTTTCTCCCATTCTGTGGGCTACCTTTTAATTTCATTGATCATCTCATTTGCTGTGCAGAGCTTTTTAGTTTGATGTAGTCCCACACATTTATTTTTGCCTCTGTTGCTCTGCTTTTGGTGTCATACTCACTAAAACACTGCCAAGACCAATGCTAAGGAGCTTTTGCCCTATGATTTGTTCTGGAGTTTTATGGTTTCAGGTCTTATGTTTAAGTCGTTAATTCACGTCAAGCTAATTTTTCTGAGTGGTGTAAGGTAAGTGTCCAATTTTATTTCTTTTTTGCATGTGGTTATCCGGTTTCCCAGCACCATTTATTGAAGAGAGTATCCTTTGATGATTCCACATGACGATTTTGATACGGCCCATGAGTATTCTTGGTTCTGTTGTTAAATATCAATTGATCATATATGTGAGGGGTTGTTTCTTGGGTCTTAATTCTGTTCCATTGGCCTTATGTCTATTTTCATGCCAGTATCATATTATTTTGTAGTATAGTTCAAAATCAGAAAACGTGATGACTTCAACTCTTTTTTTTTTCCTTTTTATTTTCCAGTATTGCTTTGGCTTTCAGTGTCTTTTGTGGTTTCGTATAAATTTTAGGATTTTTTTTTATGTCTGTGACATTGACATTTTGATGGAGTATTTTGCAGGCATGACCCCCCTTGAGTGAACAGGTTTTAAGACTCTGATGAGCCTGAGAGCCTTACTGGAGAGTTCTGTGGGCTTAGGATTCACACCAGTTCTGTGTGAATGGGGGATTTTGCTGTTTGATTCTGCCTAGCCTATTAGCTTAATCCTGCTGCTAGGATACTGTCACATTTGCTTTGAATAAACTTATTAGGCAAAGTGGATCTGTGTACCTCTAGGCGGAAAAGTAAAAACATGATTTGGTTTTCAGAACAGCTACATGATTGTATGTGTGAATGGATGTGTAACTATTTTTGTGTGCATGGCTACATTTCACCAGAGGCTTCTTTCATTGCAAGCTATCTTATGGTTGTGACATTGCAGGAGAGAAACCAAGTAGCCCTCAGCTACCTCTTTCTATTGGTGACCAGCAATGTCTAAAAAGAAAATTAAAAAAAATGTGATATTGATAAATGGCTTCTGGTCAGCTCCCATTAGTCTGTCTGTTGTGTCAACAAATATTTAATGGAGTTTTCTCCTTCAGTAACACAGGAAGGACTTTGCTAATTAGAAGTGGTATATCTCTAATTATTTTTTATTTACCTTTAGAGAGAACTTCTAAAAGGTATTTGGTGTTTGAAGAATTTTCAAAAGAATTTTTATTTTTATGCTTTACCTACCATGGCACTTTTTTTTCTTCTGGCAGCAATGTCAGAGAAGGATATTTTGAAAGAAAATTCTGTTGCTGTGATTAAAAGAAACATTCATAAATTATAAAAGCAGTTACATGTGCAAGAAGTCTAGTGTTGAAAGTAAGGTCAAACAAAAATGGAAAATAGATCTCCCCAAACCTATGCAAAAAGCATGCTAAAAAATCTTACCCACAAAGTTAGTTCTCTGGATCTAAATGTACACAGTAGACATGTATTTAGTGACAAAGTAAAATGATGTTTTGCAGGCTTAATGAAAATATAAACACTTTGTTCATAGTTCCTCTAAGGTGAACACTATAGGAACACTAAAGACTAGGTCAAGAAAAGCAACCTTAATAGTTAAGTAATAAAGACACTGAAAAAAGAACAGAAGACAATTGCTTGGTTAAGATATATTGATCTTTTCAGCATGCTTGCCTGTTTACTTATGTTTTGAGGAGGAACACTCAGTTTTCAGGAAATCATTTGACTGACAGCAGCAATTTTCAACTGGTGTGCCACACAAAAATTTAAAATATGTCAAAACTTGACTATTTAGTCAGAGGCACTGACCTCTTTTCCCTTAGATTGTCAAATAAAAAAATGACAACAGCCAACACAACAATAGCCATCTGGTGTGTATAAATCAAAATTATATTTTTGTCACATTGGCAAAAAATATAATATACTTTTTGGTGTGGCACAGAATTTTAGTAATTAGTTGATGTGTGCCATGAGATGGAAAAGGTTGGATATCGCTGCTGGCAGCATCTCTTTGCTTGCTTGAGTATGCTGCTCATGCCTATTACCGGAAAAGAATAAATGACTTATTATGTGTGCTTTCATTCCTGCCAGAAAATAATTTTTGTTAGTGCCCATACCTTGCTCAGAAGACATTTGCAACCACTTCATTTGTTGGAACTGGGTGATAAAAATGATATTTCTTTTAACAAAATGATATTCTGACATTTATAAAAATCAAGTGGAACCAGTCAACTAGCTTAGGAGAAGACCGCATGACAAAGGGTAAGAGTTTAAAAACATAAAGTACCATGTCAAAGTAGTTCAAGTAATAATATGCAAATTAATACTAAAAAGATAGGGCAAAAAAACCAGTGCTTTTTACTATTCTGTACCTTAAAGAGTCCAGATTCCACATGATGATTTTGATTTGGCCAATTTACACCAGCAGTTGGGAAAATCTAGCTTACTCTGACAAAATACTTCTACAGGAACCATTATGACAGTGGAAAATCTAGTCTCTGTTCTTTAAGTGGTACAAATTTAAACAAATTCTAAGACCACAGGACAGAAGATTTCTAGGCTAATAAAATATTGGTTAAATAATGAATGAGGTTAAATAAATGGATATGATTTCTATAAATTCCTTCTACCTAAATTGATGTTACATTTATCTTTACTTTATGATCTTGCATCTATATCTTTAGATTAAATTTGTGGGAAGTGGAAAATATTTCTTTTTATACAAGCTTTTTCATCAATTGTCTTTATTTCCACTTCTGCTAATAAAATGGTAATGTTGAGATTCTCCAAGAAATAGTGGCTCACTCATAATTGAATGATATCTTTAAATCAATGCTGAATGTGAAGCATCTGAAGGTCAATGGCTCAAGATAAAGTAGTTTATAATTTATGGATTTTTGAAATGACTTATGAAAAGACTGTGATACAAGTACAGTTTTTAATTATGTTTTAGTTTCTCTTACTATTTTGCCTCCAGGTCACCTTTTATCTTTTTCTTTTGAACCCTGATGTAAAATTATTAATTTTCCAAAGGGTATAATTAAAACATATTCTGATAACTATGTATAGTGTCAGATGAGTACTAGACTTATTGAGGCAATCGCTTCATAAGTTATATGCATTTCAAGTCACTATGCTGTACACCTGAAATAATATAATATTGTATGTCAACTGTAATTGCAAAGTAAAACCTTACTTAAAAAATAATAGGAAGTCCCTGACATAAATGATGCACACCATATCAGTCAAAAATTATTATGCATTGATTTTTTTATCTTAATATTTTACTACTTTCCTCCACTAACCAATATAATTGACAGTTTCAAAGTGCAAAGGAGTAAAAGGAAATGATTTGTGTAGAATTACTGAATTTAAAACTAAAATGTGATTCACAGTTCATCTACTCCAACTTCCTTACATAACAGGTGAGAAAATGAGGGTTGTGTAGGGTAATGACTAGTCTATAGTCACACA